AAAAAAAAAGTAACCTGGCTTCTAGTCTCACTCGGAAATGTGATCTAGATTTTTTTGTGTTTTATATTTATGCGTAAAAATATCTGTGCATGGCGAAGAAGAGAAAGGGAATGATAACGCGATCGATCGTTTAACAACGAGCATTAAACGAATCTAGTCGAATTTGCTTAATTGTTCGGTACGCTGCAATTCACGCGTAAGGGGGATCCTCCGTGTCTAAAGCAGGCTGTGCTCTGATGTGTGTGGCAGGATCTGGGAACAGTCCTGCTGAAGATATTCCGGTTTATCTGGGTTATCCGGCCTAACTGGATTCTCGGACGTGAAGCCACTGCTATACGCGTATCAACAACTACCTTACGCCGATCTTCTGCCGAGTCCGGAGATAATCTCAACGTGGGCATCCTCTCGACCGATGGATCATTTGGCCTGTGACCTTATGAAGATCCTTTTTACTCCGGAGGAGAGGATTCTCTGTAACGTAAATGGCAAGATGGGAAAGCAACAATTCGATAGTAACAAAATACATTTGATAAGAGAAGTTCTGTTGCACTTTAGTGGTATTGCACCCAACAGCGTCGAATGGGAGGAAACGTGGAAAAATTGCGTAACTAAAATCGATACTAGCAATAGGGGCTTGAAAAGGTATCTATTCCAAAGGCGGTCGGTTTACACTCAATGACTAGGGCGTTTCAGGTCAGGCGTAAAACGGAAACGTTTTCACTGGCTAGAATAAAGTGTGATTTTTCTCGCTGATTCGTCGTTTCGATTTTCTTAAGATCACTTAGGATCGTTTTAGATCGCCTTGAAAGTTTCCGTATTCTTTCTTTTTTCAAAAAGGGATACGAGTAGGTGGAGCGAGAAAATTCAGAGAAAATACAGTAGAACGTGTTCAAAAAAAGAGATTAGAGGAACGGAAAATATTCTTAGGCATGGTCCAACTATTTATACGCTTCACGTTTGCTTTCATCAGGCATGATGATCGAGTAATTAATTCGAATATATTTTGTTAAGAAATCAATTTTTTTTTCTTTTTTTTTTTTTTTTACTTGCTCGTTTCATTGTTGACGAAGATTTATTTCATGACTGAAGGAAAATCGATCGATTTTTTTTCGATTCGATTCGATTCCATTGATTCTTTTCGTCCTCGTGCAATGTAACATTCCATCCATTTATTAATTTACGCAGATTCGCACTCTCGCCGTAGACGATCTGTAAAACACCTATTAAACGTATCGTATCATAAGAACTCCATCCGCGGAGTTTCTTATACACGAAGGCAAGATTACACGCGTTACTGTACGCGTATAGATGGATCTATAAGTGTGCGTTTACCGATGTACGTACTTGTTATATACGATATGCGCGAGAATAATCACGTCTCGCATTATTGACGACTTTAGAAGAAGAGAAATACGTGTTACGATGTAACGATGAGAGTAGTAATATAAAAATATATGCTTATACGTTATTTAAGGCGTTCAATATACCGTGACGAGACCTCACGCGAACGATTCGCAGCTATCGATGGCACATCATCTTTTTCTACCTTTTACGGTCGAACGGTATAAACGAATCTGATTTTCGCGATTTTTGCCACAATTTTGTTTCTCTCGTTTGATCTCGCAAAAAAACCAAAAAAAAAAAACAAAAAAAAAAGGTAACGAAACGCTTCGAGTTGACTGTTACTATTTAAACCTGTGCGATTGTAGACAAAATACACACATACACACAAATGACTGGTTGCAAATAAACCTATTTTACATTTTTAATTGTCTCATCATTTCCCGACATTCCGTTATCCTCTGTCCATGCACACCGTATGCATGGATTATTCAATTTTCAATTTCATATTTTAATAATATGCGCATATTCGACGAAACACATTTATTCACAATAAAATTTTGAAGAAAAGGATAAAGCGTAATCATAAGAAGAACGAACGTTCTTCGACGTGCTGCAAAGTTCATCAAGTTTCCATTTTGATTTCATTTCATTCGAACTTTATCCTCCAAAGAATTATTCCATTTCCTTCAAAGAAAAGGAAAAGGGGGGGGGGGAAGATCCGACGATGAATCGACAATCTCCTTACTCAATCTCATTCCTTTTAACTGGTTTTACCGAAGATACGCGAATAAAATGAAAAAAAAAAAAAAAGAAAAGGAAGAAAAATTTGAAGTCGCGGACTGGAATTACTTGCAGGATCATCGAAGCCGAATGTAACCGTAATCGCCGATGCACGAGAGGCCTCGACCCCTTCGCCCGAGTCGGAAACACACGCGAGATTTCCAATTGGCCTCGATCGAACACCACCTTGGAATACGACATATCGACACAACGACGAGCTTTACTCGCCCAATTATTCGAATTCGGAATCGATGCCCGACCAACAGGAATCCATTCTCGTGGAACGGAATGCGAGAGTTCTTCGTTCCGTTTTTCCCACTTGTCCGGGGGCAGCTAACAATTCGGAATTCTCGGAGGAGACAGTGAAGGGTGGTGCCACGGCGTATCCACCATTTCCGTGTCCGTTTTGCGACAGGGCGTACACAAGTTGGGGTTTTCGACGAAGGCACATCAAAGCCGTCCACACCATTTCACCATCTTTAAACTGTAAATGGTGCTTACAGGTATGCGCGTAAACGATTGTCATATAAAAAGGATATAAAAGGAACGTTTCTTTCAGGTTCTTCCTACGCATGCGGCTTGGAGAAGTCACGTAATATTAGCGCACAATCTGTCGGCAAGCGACGCGCATAACGGTCTCCTGATTTTGGAGGAGGCTCACATGGTTTTACAAATTGCCCGCCCTACCAGGTTGGACACTTTAGTTAATATAATTAAACAGAATTCCCAACAGAACAACAATCAAGATAATTCACAATCGGAGAAAAATTGAATCGTCGTTGTATACGACACAGCGTGCGAAACGATTCGTAATCGTAAAAATTTTGTTGTCGATGAAGGAGAATCAGGAAAAATTTATATATATTTTTTTTCTTAATTTTCTAATATTCTCATTTTCGGAGAATAGATAAAATATTTTTTACAGAACGAACAATCGTCTTGATCGGCGATAATTGTTTTTCTTTTACAATATTATTTTTTATATATTGTATATAACTGCTTTTATAATCATTATTTGATGATGATGGCCAGTATCACGCTTCGTGGCGTAAAAAGTATTTTTATTGCTTTATCCATTTGGATTTTTGTAAAAAGAAATAAATAAACACGTTTAACGTATGACGAAGCATTCTTATTTTTGTTGAAGTTGAAAATTTGTGTTATATCAAAAATTAAAAAAAAAAAAAATCTCTTTTTCAAATTTTTTATTGCTTAAAATGTACTTATATATATAGTGCATCAGTCGATATTTTTATAAATATTTATATACTTTGTAAAAGTGACGGGAGTTTCGTGCTGTGCAAATAGAATCGATATTGTGCAAGGTGCATTTTTTTTTCTTTTTTATAATAATTCGATTCTTTTAATAATAAATGAACATCGTGAAGTACAATAAAAGAAATTCAAATATAAACTTTTAAATACATTCCTCGTCAAAGAGATAGGCTAGGCGTGCTATTTTCAATCTCTCAATGACGCGTGTAATATTTTACGAATAATATCAAAACATTGAGAGAGTTCAGAATATGCATTTCGTTGGAAATATCATAAAGCTTAGCGTGTAACAAAAGAGATCGTTTTATTTTAAGTACAAAATGATAGCACATGTATAATAACAATATGTACATTATTCAATAATGTATGATATATTCCTTCTTGTGTTCTATCATTTTTATTATACGATCTGGTATCGATTCATAGAAAGATTTTGTATATAAATTACAAATGGGATTTAAAATATCCCATTCATAAACAATAACGTTTTTTTTTTCAATTCGTATACTTTTCTTGTATAAATCGCGAACAAGCAATTTTCAATAATAATTAAAAGATCAAGAAAGCGTACGAAAGGCTGTCTTGATGCATATATGATGCATATAGCTACATTATCTCGTTGAAAAATATAATCAGATCTAGAAATGCGTTCTGATTTCTATTGGACACTGTATTCGTTCTTCCATTAATGAATTTGATATTTGTCTTGTCGTAATAATCGATATCGGCTCAAACCGATTACGTTGCCTCCTTCTATTTCGTTCTTCTAAACGATATGAAAATGATATGAAAGCTAACATCGAAAGCCCGAATTATCAAATTTTTTTTAAAATCTTGGAATAGTATTCTTTTCCATTTTTTCTTCAAATGCTTTTTTTTTTTTTTTTTGAAGTAAAACCTAGACGTTCTACTTTACGCTTCGTCGTTAACGAAGATTTTTTTTTTACTTTTAGTCTCTTAATATTTTTGGAACATGATTATAGAACATTTCGACGAAACACTAATGCCACTAATTACACGCATTTTTCCATTATTTGCTTTGTTGTTGCTTGTCAACAACGAATTGAAAGCTTACACCCAAAATTATTATCTCTTATTATCTCGCATATTTTTCTTTTTGCCATAATAAAAAAAAACATTTTTTAAGAAATTGTATATTATTTTATTACTTATTTTAATTCTAATTCTAAAATCTGATTTTTTTTTTCGGATTCGTTTAATTTTTTCCGCGTCCTTATATATAGTTTTATAAATTTTGAATAATATTATACTGTAATCTTTATTTATTGATGGATTTATGAATACGGAATAGTAAGCAATTTCTAAACGTATTAACAGAGTGTGCTATCATTTCGGTATGATTTTTCTTTGATATTTACAAAATCTTACTATATTATGACTTATTCCCGTCGAATCGTATATTTTTATTTTACTCCTAATGTTTCGATATTATTCATCATAAATGGAAAATGGATATTTCATCAGTCGTTGAGAAATTAAAGATAGCGCATCTGTGCTATCCTTTTAACGAGGAGTGTAAATGTTTAATTTGAAATAAGTATTTTTTAAATGTTTAATTCCTCTGTGTGGATTAATCCTTCTTAAGTGCACTGACTTAATATTAATTAAGCAGTTTCTTGTTATTATTATCATTATCATTATCATTATCATCATCATTATTATCATTATCATAATTATTATCATTATCATTATCATTATTAGTATTATTGTTATTGTTATTATAATTATTTGTGGTGTAACAATGCAAATATCTGTGTGTATATGATTTTAACAAGAATATCTGTATGCTGTATATGGCCAATATAAAAATAACCGTTCAACAATTGTACAATTGGGCAAAGGAATATCGCTAACTGTTGAAGAAGACAAACAGGCACGCTGAGGAACGAATCGCTCGATGAAAATCATTGTACATTGGACAAAAATTCCGACGTCACCGTCTCGCCCGAGGCGAGAATGAAAATTTATAAAAGAAGCTTACACGACGAAACGTTACAAACGATACAACATCTTGTCTCTACGTAAAAAGAGAAACAAAGAAAAGCATTAAAAAAATATATACGTATGTACATATTTGTGGATTAAAAAAATTTCCTTTCCGAGTCAGCAACATTGGTGTATCAATTGGTTATCAATCTTTTCAAATCATACGTACTCCTCGTACATTTGTTACCATCGGGACAGCTACAAGTATCTTGCGGGCTTCTCAATTTTTTTTTTTCCTTTTTTCTTTTTTTTTCTTTTTTTTTCTTCGCGATATCAGCAATTCCAGGATCGGTCCAGTTTTTGCTTCGGTGGTGGTTTTTTCTTTTTTTCTTTTTTTTTTTTTTTTTTTTTGTTTTCGATTATACATAGCAAGCATTTTCTCGTCCTTTTTGGACTCGAATTTTTTTTTTTTTACAACTCGGCCACGTAACCCTCGATAACGATTCCCGGTGCGATCTCCGCGGTCACGCTTTCCGAGGACACGTTACCCCGTCCACCGACGCCCGATCGATCCTCACCCCAGGCACCCTCTTTCCCGTATTTCTCAGACATTCGGACCATTTCGTTGGGGCTCCACTCGAGAGAATCTCTACGACTACCTCCGCTTTTGTACACGACGTTCGACTCGCTCTCGCGATTTCCACGATATCCCGTGGTTGGCAGTGGTGACGGTGAATGAGAATGACTCTCGAAGACGGAGGGACGCTTCAACGATGCTCGATAAGGCGTTTTTCTCAACATTGCCTGTTCGAATCAACGAATCGAGCAGGTTAATTTTTCTCTTAATATACTCGTATCTTCCTAAATATCTCCCACACTTTTGTAATGGATTTTTTCTTTTTTTTTTTTTTTTATTACTTACCTGAAAGTTGAACGGCGGTTCATCGCTGTCCTCGTTACCGTCATAGTTATCTCTACGACCTATCATTTGCAATTCTTGAATCGGATTGATACTGAAATAGAAAGATGTAAAACGACAAAAATGAAGAAGAAAAAAAAAAAAGAGGCGAAGGTTTAATTTCATATTATAAATTGTCTTAAATATCGAAGGTTTAACTTTTTACTGATAGCGTGATCGAACCGATTAGGATTGCCGCTACTCTTGCTAGTTTTATTTTCGTATTCCCAATTATAGGTAGCAGTATCTACGTTGCTTTTACTTCGAATATTCGAGCTATAATTGTCACTGCTACGTATGAGGGGTGGCTGATGCGGTTGATTGAACGGTACAGGTGGAGGCGGTGCGTGTTTTCTAGAGCGTATCGATCCGATATTATCGTAATTCTGAAAAAAGAGAGATGGTCAGACAGATAGAACGTAACGCAAATATGCGTAACGAATATAAATAATAACGATATATATGTGTATATATATATATATATATATAAGAAAGAGAATGAAAAATTAAGAAAATAATTAATTAATTTAATCTATGGTTACTGAAATTTACTGAGCGAGGATTATGAGCGTTAGCGGGTGGTACGGGAGTAATGCTTCTTGAAGCGTATTGATATCCTGAGTCATCCATTCTGGCCTGGGACAACGCATCGGGTGGACATCGGATCGAAACATTCGGATCTCTGGAAAACGGAGTGTCGATCAGATCTTGTCCCTCGGTGTTCGAATGTACACGATGTGGCGAGTTCGTCGTTTGAACTTCAACGTCTGAAAAATGCAGAGCAATTTTGGATGGAGAGTAAATTCTCTCCGAAAAAAAGCTCAGGCAATCGCGGTATCTTATTTTTCGTTTATTTTATCTTTGCACATTGTATTCATTATTATTATTATTATTATTATTATCATTATCATCATCATCATCATTATTATTGTTGTTGTTGTTGTTATCATCATCACCATCATTATTATTATTATTATTATTATTATTATTATTATTATTATTATTATTGTTATTATCGTAAAACGCGACAATTGATCGGTTGTTATAAAAAACGACGGAAAAGTTTTAAAGTTTCTTAATTTAATTAATTGAACGTGTCAATAAACTTACGACTGAAAGAGAAATTGAATTGATGAAAAGAGTTAGACAGAGCAAACTGCATACACAGAATGATACGATAGTATTATCGTTTTATTTTAACGAGAGAGGAAATTATGAACGGAAACAGAAGAAGAACGATATGCACTCTGTGTGCGCAGTCGATGAACTTAACGCAAGGTTAAGAAAAATAAAAAAAAAAAAAAAAAAAAAAAAAAAAAAAAAAAAGTAAAGTAGAATAGAATAATTAGAAATAGTAACGAAAAAGAATGT